GCAAGGTGGATCAGAAAGTGGTGGACCCACAGATTTTAGCAAAAATCAAAGCTGTTCCTCAGCTCTGGGGCTACCTACAATCCATTTTTGCTCTGACAAAGGGAATTTATCCTCATAAATTAGTGTTCTAAATTTCTTACTGAAAACCTAATTAAATAACTGATACATTTTTAAAATCCTCAATATGTACTTGCCTTATATCAAGCAAATATCTCAATGCAATGTGGCTATACAGGTTCTATATAGTGCACACGTGGTCACAAGGCAAACACTATATAGGCTCGGAACGTCTGCAAAAACATGATGCTTATATTGATTAGAATACCGCTATAAATGATTATCACATTGACAGCACTTAGTTTACAAAAAAGTCACATACACGATAGATAGATAGATAGATAGATAGATAGATAGATAGATAGATAGATTCACAAACTATGGTTCCTGGAAGATACTAATAACCAGATACCAGTATATAAAATGCAAGGTTTAATTTTTTTTCAATTACGTGTTTGGTACAGGGTCTTACTACATGACTCAGATGCATAGTGATCCTCCTGTTTTCAATCTCTCCAGTGTTGGGATTATAGGCATGCACCACCACACTCAGACTTGATCACAGGCTCAGCGTGCCCCTGAGGGCAAGGCCGGCACAGCATGTAGGACTGGGAACTGAACCCTGGTCCCTGCACATGCCAAAGCAGGCGCTTAGTCCGCTGAGCTATCTCACCGGCCCTGAAGTTCTGATATTTTTAAGAAATAAAACAAAATTCAAAACCATTTTTGGTGTTGTTCAAAGTCAAACATGTCAAATAACTTAGCTATGGCCACTGTCACCAAATGAAGCCATACTTGAATAATTTGGTACACAGTTGGTAGCTTATTTTTTAGTCAGAATGATAACAACACAAGCTGGGCTTGGTGGCACACATCTCTAATCCAAGCACTCGAGAAGCTGAAACAGAAGGATTGTTGCGAGTTTGAGGCCAGCTTGGGCTGCAAAGTGAGCTCAAGGCCAGCCTGAGCTGCAATTTTTTGGTCTTTCTGTCTCAAAAAGACCAAAAAAAAAGAAAAAAAAAAGAATGAAAACAAGACATGTCACTACATCATTTTATGATAATCATTAAGAAAGACTAGATTTTACCCAGATTGCTTTTTGAAATATCTAGCCAAATCCCACAAAAGTAATAACTTCTTAAAACAAAAAACAACGAATTTTTTTTCTTGTTTTAAAGAACAGCTCTTCCTGTGACAACATTTTGTAGTTTACAAATGTATAACTCATAATTTGGTAAATAAATAACAACATGGGCAGGAAGGATAGAATACACACAACTTCAGTACGGAGGCTGAAGCAGGAAGGGCTCAAGTTTGAGGCCAGCCCAGGCTACTTGGTGACTTGAAAATCAACCTGAACTACATAGTGAGACCCTGTCTCAAAGGAAAACCTTAAAAATAAAATAAACCCTCAGAGCTTTTTTGCAATGGGTTTCCCACAAGAGCACAGGTATAGTGAAAATACCACTAAATCAAAGCCAACATGGAAAAGGAAAAGACTCACATTAATATTGTCATCATAGGACACATGGACTCTGGCAAGTCCACCACCACCAGCCATCTGATCTACAAATGTGGTGGTATTGACAAAAGAACCATTGGAAAATCTGAGAAGGAGGCTGCTGAGATGGGGAAGGATTCCTTCAGGTATGCCTGGGTCTTGGACAAGCTGAAGGCCATGAGCATGGTATTTCAAATTTCCCTGC